ACAAGTTTAAATGTGAAAAAAATAATTCTTTAACCTAATGCGGTACTGAAATCGTAGAATCAACTAGGCTATCTGCAACTTCTGAACACTTTCAGAATCTTATTTCATGTTTGCTTACCCGTTCACTTAAATTGCTTGCATTTTGTTTTTCGGAACATCTGTATATGGGAGGAATGGCGGATTTTATTTGGTAAAGTGATGGATTGGTCGTGTAAATAGACGTGAGCTGAAAAGCTAGGAATCATTGAACAGCTGGTTCCGTCTAGTTGGGTTTAATCAGCAGTGCGTATGCTTCGACGCAACTGGGAATCGAACCCGAGGCCTTACAGGAAGAACGCAATCATATTATCCACTCAGTCAAGGGGCAAGTGAATTGACCGTTCCTCACTGGGAATATATACTATATAGCGCTACCTGTTTCGAGAAGCTTGTTGCGAGTAACGTACTTCTCTCAGCTCAGCCTGAATTCATCATCTAATAAAAGGAATGTTCTCCTTTCCCCACAAGTGACTCTGGTGGCTAGTGCTGAAAACAGCGAGGCCCGTTGCCCACAAAGAAGCTCCCAAAGATAGCTTGTGTTATATCGCGTTTATTCCAAACGATCAATGGTCTGTTCAACCGCCCGTTAATCGAGTTTTTAGTATGCTTGCGTTCTACCAGGGAGGTCATGGGTTCGATTCCCAGATTGTTTGATGGATTCACACTACTGATGAGGTCCAAGAACGTCGAAAAACCTACTATTAAACTTGCGCTGGAGTTTCCATCACATCGCATCAAACATTTTTTTGGAGGATTTTCATTTGCTTTCACAGTATGTGGAAGTTGTATACGGAAGAAATGGATCCCTGGTATATTGGCTTCAATAACGAATATCTAGGACGATTTGCAGAAAACACACCATGGGATATTTATTTATGTTCCAGCTAGAACTGACAATTTAGCCTGGCGATATTAAATTAGATAGGAAAAGCTATGTAAAATGTTGGCACACATTGTCTTGCGCATATGTAGACGTCACACGGGAGGATTATCAAATGCTCTAACGAAGTCCGTTCGCAGAACAAAGCTCAATGTTCGCCTCATGAACTGATGACTTAACTGTTTGGGAGAAAAAACGTCTGATTCTGTTGTGTTTTTTCTATGCGTAAGCTTCTTTATTATTTTCTATAGCAAAAACCCACCTACTCAACTTAATCAGGTGGATGGGATCTCATTGCTATAACCGAAACCTGATTGACGACTAACATTTTGAACTCCGAGCTGCGATTACCGGGCATGGAACTATTGAGGCGTGATCGTCCAACGCGAGGTGGGGACGTGTTGCTCTGCTATCATAATAGCTTGGAATGCGAGCAAATTGAGTGCCCGTTCGCTGCTTCAGATCCGTTATGGTGTAAATTGAAGCTAACACAACACGATATCGGGCTAATCGGTGTAGTTTATCGCCCTCCTTCATCAACAGATTCATCAAATGAGACTTTGTTGCAAACAATGTCCTACGTCTTGTCATTGAATTTCACCTACGTCCTTGTTATGGGTCACTTCAACGGTCCAAAGCTGAGCAACGGAACTACATTGTGTACGCCATTTGAACGACAATTGAAGCAGTTCATCCAGTCACATCCGTAGTACAGTCATGTGAAGGAACCCACCAGATTTGGAACCAACCAAATTTCGTCAACTTTGAATCTAGTACTGACAAATGAAGAATTGATAGCCGAATCAATTGCAATCGCAATTCCGTTGGGGCGCAGTGATCACGCTGTATTATTGTTCGAATACGTTTGATATGCATCAGTAATAACAGCTTCTTCGGATCGTTTTCGCAGCACCATTGACTATGCAGGACTCATGGCTCATGGAATCCAGTGGATCTCCCCTGATATGGGCTGCAATCCCCTGGAATCCTGGAGAAAATTTACTAACAGCTTCACAACATTGGTGGCTGCTGTTACAACTGTCAAGCGTTTATACCAACAAACTGTCCGAAAATCAGTAATTCGCAGTTAAACTAGGAAATGAATAATGCAAAGGGATTTTCACTGGACGGAGTTCAAACACTGTTTATGCCCCAGCACTTGGGAAGCTTGCAGGCTCCTTCGAAATCACTGTACAAATTTAATGCGGGAAAACAAGCACAATTATCACGATATGCTGGCGAGGAACTTTATTGCAAACCCTAAGCTACTATATAAGCATGTAAAAGATTCCCGGAAAATCAAATAAGGTGTTCCGATTCTATATTCAGCAGGACGTATTTCAGCGACAACCAAGGAGGCTGCAGAAATGCTTAGACTACACTACTTTCAGGTAGTCAATGAGCCTAGCAACACTGGGTTCGTACTTCTCCGTTTGCTGGAACATATTCCTTACCCATTACTGACAGACATCATCGTTTCTCCCGAAAGGATAAAGGCAAAGCTCCTGACCTTGAAGAAGAACTCATCACAGGGTTTAGATAACATTCATTCACAAGCCCTTATCACCCTGGCAAGTCACATAGCCGATCATTTAAGTGAGCTATATCGAAAACTGTTGGAAGATACCGTGCTTCCTCAGGTGCGGAAAAACGGTGTCATCTCACCAATTTACAAAGGTGGATGCCATAGTGACCCAGCCAACTACCGTCACTCTCCTTCCAGTGTTGTCCAAAGTCATGGAATCTTTTGTTGCATTTTCGGTAATGGATCATCTGGAGAAAAATGAGTTACTATCCCCAGCCCAGCAGGGGTTTCGAAAATCCTTTCATGTGCAACTAACTTGATTTTGGCCCGGGACGATTGGACTCATTCTGTAGACCAAGGCAAATGGGTCGATGTTATTTACCCGGACTTCCCGAAAGCATTTGATAGAGTAAATCATCAAATACTGATATGGAAGCTGTATAACTATGGAATCGGTGGATCGTGCTTGGCTGGATCGAGAAAATTCTTTGCCTACGTATCATGTCAGTTTGTGTTTCCGATTCACTTTCTGATCCAATGGATGTCAACCGTGGGTTCCACAGTGATCTTTACTGGCCCCACGTCTCTTCCTTGCCTTTATAAATGATGTTCCAGAGGTTTTCGGTGAACAAACTCAGCTGTTTCCAGCCGATACCAAAATATGGAAGGCAATAACAAAACCAGAAGATTCATTTGATATCCAGAACGCCCCTGACAAAGCCCACAGATGGTCTGTCTCCAATGATATGGAATTCACCATTAACAAATGTAGAGTCTTATCACTACGTCACAATGGTCGTCTTTCTTATACTCTCGGACACGAAACTCTGCCTCATACTCCATCCGAGAGGGATCTGGGAGTAGTCATTCGCGCAGACTTGAGTTGCTCCACAAACTGTTCCCGGGCATCATCCATTGCGGTAAAGTAGGTTGGACTGCTCAAACGTGTTTTTGGATCGTTTGAGCCGGATTTATTTTCACGTCTGTTAGCCACATATATCCGTCCATACACCGAGTAATCGATTCAGGCCTGGAACCCATGGCTGCAGCGAGATTGGAAGGCACTTGAACATCTACATAGATTGGCTACCAAGATGGACAAAGTCTACATTTCAAGACCTATGGCGAGAGATTACAGCTCTTGGGGTATACTCCTCTCAATATCGTCAAATCAGAGGCGATATGATCTTACTGTATCGGATTTTCCAACAGCTCAACCATCCATGTAGATCTCTTTTGGTTCTATCTATCAATATTCATTTCAGAGGGCATTCACTGAAGTTGACACTCCAAAAGAGCCTTCTCGACTGCAGACGCCATTCATTTGCATTCAGAGTGCACAGCAAATGGAACTTTCTACCATCTGAAGTGGTCTGTGCGTCAACATTAGTATTTTTCAAGCGTCAGCTTGATGATGCTCTGGAAAACATTATGTCTCAACACCCAACTACATAGTATATTCTTCTGTGCTCGTCAAAAACACTACATTTCTGTTCCACTTTCATGGGCTAACTGTGAGCTTGTGAATCGTGTTCCGAACCAAAGTATAAACACCCTATGGGATCTGATAAGCGAACTCTTTGTAAGTTTTATCCCGTAATAAATATTTGAATTTGAAAAATTTGTTTAAGCTAAGTCTTAGAGATCACTCCGATCACCCAGAAACGAAAACTTTTTTCAACCATTCCGTTTGTTTGACAAAAATTGATTTCAGAACACATGTTCAGAGGCAAACAATTTTTTCATTGATTCATTTTCTAGCCTGCACTATCATTATTTATCGAGGAGACAAATGCAAGCGACTCCACATCGTTGTTCATAATGGTAAATAATGACTAAACCGATGAGAAGCCGTGTGTACTTTCTGTAGGACGCATGAAGACAATA